TCACCTCCTTATATTGCAAGTTGTGGATGTTATTACACCTGCGTGCATAAAAATATAAAAGGTTTGGAAAAGAAATAGAAATGCAACTTAAAGTAATAAAATAGTTTAGATGGTGCTCCTGAAATAGCTTTTTAAATGAAATATAAATGTTTAAAATTTGCAATAAAATGTAACTATAAATGCTTAAATAATTTTTAATAAAAAAAGTTCAAGTATAATTATTTGGATTAGCATACACGTTAGAGCATATGCATTAAAAAAAAATTAGTATACTATAGAACTTTAATTATTCACTAAGTTGTTGTATAGCTTAAACTATGAAAATGCTCCTTCAAACTAAATGATTGATATGAGATAACTTGTGTATTAAGAAAATGAGCGATTGAAAACAAGAAAAAGGAAATATATCTTGTCTTAAAGTTTTCTATTAAACTTGTATGATACTTGATATTTATATGTGTGATGGATATGGATTAGAAATGTTGGTGTTTAATGTTCTTATTATTTAGATATTTTTAGATTATCTTAAATGTTGAGAGCAAAGCCTTTACTGTCTGACCATCTACTCCCACTGTTTTGCAGGACGACATTCAAAAGCGGAATTTCAAGATAACAAAACAAAACCTGCAAAACACCCATTTTTAGTAATTTCAAATTAATGCACAGAGTCGTGACACTTACCTACACCAGAAAAATATGCAAATAACACTAAAGAAAGCAGTAGGTCATCCATGCCATTCAACAAAGGCAAACAAGGGTGGGTGATGCCATCCAATCTTGGCGCCACAAGTACTAAGTAGTTTGAATAAATTGATGACCTACTACACCAAAAAGATATTGATAATGGGCATCCCTATTTACAAAAAAAATGGGCATATGGAACATTATCAAACTAGGCTCACTACGGCCAAAGGTGACTCCTATGAGCCGATGATGGATGATGACAAGACAAGAATGTAGTTGACAAAGGAATTAATGAAACGTTGTTATAACCCATGTAACAATTTGTAGAGCCTAAGCTGATCTGTTAATTAGGCCCATCTTTGTGAGGCTCATGGAGACATTGTCCAAGGCCAATTAAGATTTAAAAGAGAGAAGAGGTTTGGAGTCATTGTGTGTGTAGCCCCCAACTGAAAGGCCCTCCCCATCTTTTCTACTTATTTTTTACCTTTTTTATTTCGTCTTATTGATTGTGTTGCTTCTCTCTTTTTGTGAGCAAAGACACAATAACAAAGATAAAGAAGAATTGGTGTTTAAACTGGATCTTGTAAGCATCCATACAAACCATGAACTAATAAAATTTATGCTAGTGAAACTACTTTTTTCTAAGTAATTTCATGACAATAATTTTCATTATATTTTTTATATAATGAACTACATACAAAATAAAAAAAAAGGGAGCATTAATTTTAAGACTAATAATTAGAAATTATAAGTTACATGACATGATAAGGTAATATAGAAAAAAAATTCATCCCTATGAGGATCTAGTCACATGTTAAACTCACGAATGCTTAATCAAGCCCTAAAAAGGATTCGTCACTTTTATCCAAAAATAGATGTGACTAAAAACTACACAAATGTGCTGAGATCCAACAAATAAGAAACCTCATGAAATTTTTGAAAAATTCCCACAAGAAAAAAACTTCCTATTCATTATTCAACCATGCCTGTATAAAAAAACCATTAAAATTTAAGGATCAATTAAAAAAAAAAAAATCTAAACCATTAAAGTTGATCATGATCATAAGGATAAATACTGAAGGAAAAATGATACAATAGAATGTATGCCACACTTAAACTAAACAATTTAATAAACCGAATGACCAAAAGATGAGCTATAGTGCTTGAATAATATCTCAAAGGAGCTCATCCAGCATAGGAAAAATACAAAATCAGTAAAATTATGGAGAATAGGAAGAAACAATGAAGAATTTGGACGTTGATGTTGATGATGATACTGTTTCTACAGCACAAATGTGTGAAGAGCTACATCCCATTAGCAATGGGTATTTTTTATTGTGTTTATGAAATTACCATAGAACATGTAATGCAAAGAGGAATTGTAGGTATTGCAGTGTTCAATTTGCAAGGATTCAACTTGACACATTTAATTTAGGTTTAGTTTAGAATTTATTTTCTTTTATTTTTATTATTGCTTTTTATAATCATGATTAGCTTTTATCAATTGTCAAAATTTATTACGGTTGAGCATTAGGTTTTGGGTAAATCGGGCAATTAATTTCTTAGGTAAAAAATTGAATTATTGAATGAGTAGTTTAGAGTTGCTTCAAATTTAAGCAAAACCCTAAAGAGAGTGTTGTGGAAATTTTGTGTTCCAGCAATCCTACCAATCCAATGGTCCATAGATACTCTACTTTGGCATGGTTCCAAGAAAAGAACTCCTACTCAAACTACATCAAATATTTTTCTTCCCTCATCACCATGCATCAAGTTGGCTTCAAGATGGCCAAGGGAAGAAAATTTCGGCTTCATATGAGACGCCTTTCTAATTACTTTGTGGCAAGAAAAACAATCAATAAAATGCATTGTCTGCTTGAATGATTAGTTTTTCATTGATTTTACAGAATTTTGCAATAGAAATACAACTTTTTGGGAAAACATAATAGCGATAATGATCGGGAAAGCAGCTTTAATAAAAAAAAAAAGACAGAAAATGACAAAAAGTTGCATATTTAAGTAGTCATTGAAAGGTGCAAAAGCATCTAGTGGTTTGTCATCAATAAGGTCTGTGAAACTCTAGAGAAAAAGAAAGCTATAACTTATGACGTCAAGCAAAAATGGCTGTTATTCAAAACCCTTGTTCATTTAATCAATCTCTGCTGTGGGATATCAAATCAAAAGTAGGTTTAAAGCAACATCAAGAAATTGTACCTGGAAGAATGAGAATAATTATGCATACTGGAGATGTCTTGGTGTGCTTTAGTTTAACTTTTTAGGATTAGGAGCAATGACTACAGTTAGAAAAATAACAATATAGTCTCAATGAACTTAACTATCACCATTATAGTGCAAATAAATAAATAAACATCAATCAGGCATTTATTACTTGGAAAAATTTCAATGGCATCCTCATAGGCAAGCCTTGTTCTGGTGAACACAACGTGATGATTGACCATTAAAATTAATATAAGAAAATAGTTGAAAATAAGAACGAAATCTCCAAAATAGCTAAAGGCTTTATCAAGGCTAAAGTTTTGGCAATATAGTAGAATGACCTCAGACTTTCAATCAGTAGCATTTTTATTACATGTTCCACCATAGCTAAATAATATTAAAAAAAGCCTTTACAGCATTAATCTCAACATTTACCTTATCCCAACAATTTAATTTTGCTTTTATAAATCCACATTTTCCGTTAGTTCCAAGCGTGCATGAGAAGTTCAACCACAAATCCACAAATTACTTTGAATAACTTATATTCATATTACCTTAGGTCCATTGTTTTTCATATGTAATTCTTCAACACTAAATTCATTCACCCATCCAAGGGAGCATTTTCGACACTTCCTACATATCCAAGTCATCCATCTCTATTTTCAACTATCTTGTCTAATTATCTTCAATAACTGTCACCTCAATCATTGCACTAATATAATTATTCCTTTACCGGTCGTTCCTAATTTGTGAAACAAGTATCTTAACATGTTCATCTCCATGCAAAACTCAGCCATCAAATTATAGCAAAATTAATTGCAATTTTAAGAAAATTCTTTTTTTTTCAAGTTTTCATAATATCATTACATTTAATAGTAATCTTGATGCGCTCTTCCATTTAACCAATAGACCTAAAATTTGTAAATTATATTCTCATCCTTTTATATAATAAATCCAAAATACTTAAACATATCACATCAAGGTTTTCCTTCATCGTTTAGTAATATTACTGATATTTACTAGTATCCCATCCAATAATATTGCATATTATATGCTAAATCTTTGTCCACTAATTTAAATTAACATTCTCAAAAAACTAATCCAAGTTTAACGACGATCGCAGACCTTATGAAACAAATTTTAATGTCCTAGAATTTTTTAGAAGGTAAGCACCTTCAATTTAAGCATTCCCACTTGGTTAATCCTGATTCACATTTAGGTTGGGCTTTGATGAAAGTAAAGAAACTGACATTAAATTCAGGTAATTTCTGGTTTGATAAATCAGTCATAAAATCATAGCAAAATTTCTTGCAATTTTAAAAAATATCCTTTTTTCCAATTTTCCATAACATCTTTACATTGCATAATAATCTTGAAGTGCTCCTCCATTTAACCACCAAGCCTTAATTTTGTAAGTTATATTCTCATCCTTTTATATAATAAATCCAAAATACTTAGATGTATCACATCAAGGTTTCCTTCATCTTCTAATAATATTACTGATACTGCATATTATATGCCAAGTCTTTGTCCACCAATTTTAAATTGACATTTTCACTTAATTAATTCAAGTTTAAAGATGATCGTAAACCTCATGAAATAAATTGTAATGTCCTATAATTCATTAGAAGGTAAGCACCTTCAATTTAAGCATTCCCACTTGGTTCGTCGCGATTCAAATTTAGGTTGGGTTTCGATAAAAATAAAAAAAAAACTGACATTAAATTCAGGTAATTTCTGGCTTGATAATGAATGCCACCATTAGTTTGAAATCATCATTTTTTTTACATCTCCTTTTAACAACTAAAGGGCCCTTTGGAATCATTTTTTTTATTTTATATTTTTATTTTGTTTTGTTTATCTTTTGATTTGAAAAAACATATATGATTAAAATATAATTGTTTTTAAAAGCATTCAAAATGCAAAAAAGCTGTTTTGAGTGTTTTAAAAAATATTTTAATTTGTTTTTAGAGTAAAAATAGCAGTAAAAAAAAGAGCAAACAAAAATGTTTTATAAAATAAAAATTAAAACAAAAATAAAATACAAAATTGATACCAAATATGCCCCAAATGAAGTCCTAATAACATGAAGTAATACATACCAACTAGATCCAGAAGACATTTTTCTGATGTCCCATAGTTTAGTAGTCTGATCTTTACCATTGGAGATAAAATAGCGACCATCTCCTCGACTGTCAATAAAAGTAATACCTTCTAAATGACCAATCAACACTCCTGCAGCTTGCTCTTTTTTTCGTAGACAACGTCTATCCCAAACCTGAATAATCTATAGTTACTCTCCATCCTTGATAGAAAAATAAGCAATTTGAAATTTGCAAAATTAAACATAACTAAAATAAAAAACTTGCTGAATTCAAAGATTCACAGTAAAGAAAACAATATGGTAGGCTACTAACAAGCCAACCATGGCATCAATCCAAGCACAATTAGGATCAAAAATAGAAAAGATAAGAAAAAGGCAAGGCAATAATTTAGGCATACTTGAAAGGTCCTATGTAGTAGCCAGAACGAGATCTATCACTACCCTATAACTGCTAATCAAAAATAGAGCAAGCCAACCCATAGAAAGTTTTTGACATTTTTCATATTTGGAACTTAACAAGATCTTACAAAACGAACAATAAGCTTTCTATATTTAATAGATTATGCATACCTAATTGATCCCCCTCACCATGTTACAGCTGAATTTGAAGATAAATAGTTTCTAAATAATCATTTTCAATCATTTCATCCAAACAGAAAATTTTTTTTTAAGACCCTGTTCCATCATATCCCTTTAATATCAATAGATTCACATGTACTTCACGAAAGAAAGCTCATCAACAAACACAAAAAGTTTATTTAGAGAATCACAGTGAATGTTTTTATATAATAAGGTTCATTTCATCAAATTACCCATAAGAGAATTTACGATATCCACGGCATACAAATAAATTTTTATGAGAACTTTCTTTCTGCTAATGAAGTTTGTTCCTAGCACAAAATAAAAAAAAAGAGCATCTTTCGGGCACAATGAAATAAATAATTTTGTAATAAGAACGATTAGTGAATGTTACCTTGCAGAGATTGTCATCACTACCCGAATAGACGAGATTGCCAGTTTCATCGGCAAAAGTCACTGTGTTCACATCAGACTGGCCAAAAGAGTAAATGTTTAAATAATAAATAAAAACTCAAAAAACATGCATTTTTTCACAAGAGATTATCCTGCCAAGAATGCAAGGAAAAATCCCAGATTTTATCTTAAAGGAAAGCAAGTAAGAAAATAGAGTACACTTATGTACATACATGACACAGGAACAAACCTCGCATGCATGAGTTCATAGGATATCTTCCCGATTTTGGTAAGATATATTACCGCAGCAATCTTGTGAAGTAATAAAAGCTTTAATAACCGGTCTAAATAAATGAACAAACAAAAAAAAAAAAATATTAATAGTAATTGAATCAGCAATGTATGATGAACGTCATTATAGTGGGATCTCTGTCGTTTGACCCCCTTCGAAACAAATGAACGAGAGAGAGAGATAGAGAGAGAGGAGAGAGAGAGAGAGAGAGAGAGAGAAGGAGGAGAGAGAGAGAGAGAAGGAAGAAACAAAGTAAAAAAAGGAAAAGAAGGAAAAGAAGGAAAAGAAGCAGCAGTAGAAGAAGATGGGCAGGAAGAGGAAGAATTACATGTGAGGAACGAAGCTGAGGGAGGAGACGTGGTCGACCAGGCAAAGGCGACGAAGCAGCGTCAACGGTTTCCAAGTGGGAGAAGACCAACCCAAGACAAAGGAAGGAGTGGCTCGTGCATAGGTGCTGCGTCGTTCTGTGAGAAGGAGCAGACAAAGTCGAAGAAGAAGCCAAAGGCTTACATGTATCATCGTCTGCATGCGGGAGAAGAGGCGAATTCAGCGGTTTCGGGTAGGAGAGGGAAGCCCATGCCCTAGCTGAAGGAGAATGATAAGAGAATGGCGAGAAGAATCTTTATGCAGCTTGTTCGAACAAGGAGACACGTCCGAGCCGGTCGAAGGAGAAAAGCAGAGCAGAGAGCAGATTCAGGTGTGCGGTTTTGTGCAAACGTCTTACGTACGCAAATTTTCCTGAGCAGCAAAGAAGCCAATGGTCTCAGAGACTTCTTTCGTGCGTTGAGAGCTTATTGGTAAATAGGATTTATTTTATTTAAATTTAAGAGCTAACGTACATCAGTTTTTTATTAATTAAAAAACAAAAAAATTAAGTGGAGGGAATGATATTTGCTTTGAGAGAGAAGAGTATGTGGAGGAAAAAAGTATAAAGATAAAAGGATATATGATATTAACTTTTTAAATGTATTAATTTAAATTTGATGTTTCTTATAATATTAATGTTAAATTATATTAATTAATAATAGAAATTAAGATAAGCTAAATTGATCGAAAGATATGGGAAATGTAATATGTGACTCAAACAAGGTTAAGCTGAATTATTATCATTATTTTAAAATATATGTTTGATTTCATTTATACTATACTCCAATGAGATTTAGATCATAACATATTATTCATATTGTTGGATAGAAAAAAATATACATATTAAACAGTTACATTATAGTTTTCCTAAGAATATATTTTATGACTACATGATATATAAATTCTAGTACATGTACATAAATAAGTTTATTAAATGACCTATAAATTTAGTAAGATTTTACTTATTCATCAGTAGATAGTGGAAAGTGTTTCATAAGAATTATGATATGAAGAAGAAGCATAATAACCAACAAAACAACTGTTAGAAGAATTTGTGATATATGAAAAATTATCATCCTCTTACAAATCATTTGTTCAGAACTTGGATAATGTGCAGGTCCCAAATTCAATTCAAGAGGCCTTATCTATTCCTAATTGAAAAATCATTGTGAAAGAAAAGATTCTTGCCCTTGAAAATAATGTATCTGGATCATGACTCTACCACTTGGAAAAAGAATTATAAGGTACAAATGGGCATACAAAGTTAAATACAAAGCAGATGAGAGCGTAGAAAGGCTAGACTTGTAGTAAAATACTTCACTCATCATTATGAAATCGACTAACATGAGACAATTGCACCAGTCTAGACATTAAAGATCTATTTCTTAATGGAGATCTTGAGGAAAAAGTATATATGAAAATACCTCCTAGATTAAAGAACAATACAAACAATAGTGTGCAAATTAAAGAAATTATTGTATAAGTTGAAATAATCTTCTATAGCAAAGTCTGAAAGGTTCGCCAAGACTATTATTATCAATGGTACTAGGAGTGTCAGGCTGATTACATTTTGTTTGTGAAATCAAATCAAGAAAGTATGATGGTCATCCTTATTGTATATGTAGATGACATTATTCTTACCGACAAGACATAAGGAAAATTGAAACAATCAAATAAATAATAACTTATGATTTTGAGATAAAAAATCTTGAAACTTTAAGATACTTCTTTGGAATGGAAATAGCAAGATCCAAAAAATGCATTGTTATATCCCAAAGTACAAAAATATTATTGACTAATTAAAGGAGATATACATGTTGGGTGTAGATCAACAAATACTTCTATAGATTCCAATTGACGAGCATCATTAGAAGAGGAGGATAACATCTCAATTTAAAAAGGGAGGCATCAAAGATTTGTGAGTAAACATAGCTAAATGTCACATGCAAGACCTGACATTGCATTTTCTGTGGGAGTAGTAAGTCAACATATGAATGATCCAAATGAAAATCATTTAGTAGAAATTTTTTGAATTTTGAGATGCCTAAAGATGAATTCAAAACGTGGTTTGATATTAAAAAAAAATGAATTATAACAGGTGATCTACATTGAAGCTAGCTGGTAGAAGAACTGACTGACAAAAGATTTGCCACAGGTTACTATTCATTTATATGGGGTAACTTGGTTGCTCGTAGAAGTAAAGAAAAAACTATAGTGGTAAAAATAGTGCATATTCTAAGTATTGTACCCTGACCCTAGGAATTTATGTCGAGATGGGCTAAAAAATTATTGATGGAATTACACATGAAGAACAAAAGCACTATTAAGATGTTCAATGATAGTTAATTAGCCATCAATACTTTAAGGAATCCAGTCCATCATGATCAAACCAAACATATACAGATTGACAAGCATTTTATATCTAAGAAGGTCAATGAAGGGATTCTCCAGCTAAACTATATCCCAACTCAATATCAAATTGCTTAACATTCTTACCAAAACTCATCTTCGACACCACTTTAGTGATCTTAGTAGCAAGTATGGGATGTATGACATATACTCCAACTTAAAGGGGAGTGTTGATATGCCTACAATGTGGACCACTTAGGCCCACCCACAGTTTAGGAAACCGTGGATCAACTGCTACATTTGAGGGGAGAAATTATTCTCCCTTAGCTATCCATTATTATGCTTTTATTTATTTCATTCTTATCATGATAATTTGAATTTCCATTGAATTATTTACTTATTGAAAATTAAAGAATTTTTTCTCTCTAAGAAAGTTCCTCCAGAAATTCCACAGTAACCTTACACTTATAAGTAGTGTAGCTGTATCTTGTTAGATTTCAGGTAGTGGATCCTCCTCAACATTCTTACTATTGTAGATATCGCTGAATAGTTGTGTTTCCTGAAGTTTCTACCTGGAAGACAACCAATTTGATTCTTCCCCTTCAAATCCTGACCGTTTCACTTAATTCTTTTCTTACCACTCTGCAATTTCCAAATGCATGTATCAATCCTTTTTAATCTAGTACCCTAGAATGGTTTCAAGGTGCTTCTTATGGACATGTTTGCATATATTAGTTTTGAAAATGGATCTTCAAAGCACAAGTCCGCAACAAGTTATCACTATTTATAGCCTGGAAAAAACTTCTAGAAATATTTATATTATAACTCACACTTAATCCTGCATTTACATACAACACAATTCTTATGTATTTACATATCTAACCTAACTTTCATATTTACATACATAGCACTTAAATCTTAAATGCACATAAAAAATAACATTATAACTTCTAAAAATTGAAATATTTTTTTTCATGAAAAGGCTAGGACACCCAAGGGTTATAAATATAAATACAAAAGTTTACGTGTTAGATAGATAAATACGTAAGGATTTGTGGAATGTATGTAAATTCCCTTAAATGTAATGTGAATCATTAGCAAAGCATAAGCATTTATCTAGTCAATATTCATCATAGTTTATTGAGTCATCTGTAGTGCATACACATAATATTCATGCTAATATTCATGATAAGGTTCTTATACAATTTACAACAAATAGAGAAGAAACAAAGACTTCTAGGAGGGGGATAAGTTGATGGTGCGCCTAAACACAAAATTTTCCACAGGCTTGTAAGAAGCGGGTTTCAATATAGTTGGATCCAAACCGATTCATACGGGAGGGATATGTTGATGGTTCACCCACATTCATAGAATATTTCAAAAACTTGTAAGAAGCAGGTTTCAATATGGTTGGATCCACACCGATTCATATGGCTACTTGGTGTCATTGAACAAGATAGATATCTTACAACTGTTGGCTTTAGCTTGTATTCGCTATATCTAATATAAGATTACACCGCAAGCTTTCAACTAAGCAGTGTTCTCTTGAGTGTCATATTTTTATTTAATTCTAATAGAAAAGTACCCATTTGACAATTCAGGGTATCTATGGAGTTTCAATATCTCGACCCAAAAAAGATGCTAAAGAAGACCAATCTTAACATTACATTAGTAATTTAGATTTTATTATCTTTGTGCAAACATGCTGTAATTTTTTTTCAGTTGGAGTACATCAGAGATCGGCTTTAAGCCCATATCTTTTTGCTTTAGTTATGAATGCTGTTACTGGACATGTACAGGAGGATGTACCTTGGTGATGCTTTCGCTGATAATATCCTTCTTGTAGATAAGTTTATAGAAGAGTTCAGGAAATACTTGAATTATGGAGGTCTATATTGGAGTCTAAAGGCCTTCGTTTGAGTAGAACTAAAAATGAATATATAGAATATAATTTTAATACTAGTAGCTCTAGTGGTTGAGTTATAACTATAGGTGATCAAATCATTAAATAAGGAGAACGCTTTAGATATGTTAGGTCTATTGTTCAAGTTGATGGTGACATAGATGGGGATGTTATTAGTAGGATTCAAGTTGGTTGGTTGAAGGAGAGGAATGTATCGAGCCTATTGTGTGATAGATTAGTACCACTTGGACTGAAAGAAAAATTTTATAAGATGGTGGTGAGACCTGCAATGCTCTATGGCGTTGAATGTTGGCCTTTAAAAGAGAAGCATAAAACCAAATTAAGTATTGCCGAGATGAGGATGATTAGATGAATAAGTGGTTTTACACTTCAAGATAAAATGTGAAATGAATATATCCGTGATAAGGTTGGTGTAGCTCCAGTGGCGAAAGAAATTAGAGAGAGTTATCTTAGATGATTTGGTCACATTATACATCGATACATCGACCATCTGATGATCTATCGACCATCTGATGATCTGGTTTGAAGAGTGGATGATTTAGTTTTGACTTATGTTAAGAAGGCACAGGTAGACCTAAAAAGACTTGGGAATATTGTAAAAAAAAATGATCTTAATTTATTAGAATTAAATGAAAATATGACACTCAAGAGAATGCAATTGAGAAAAAGAATTCATGTAGATGACCCCACTTAGTGTGATAAAGGCTTGTTGTTGTTGTAAACATGTTGTAATTGCCATGTTCACCATACAACACCATCAAAGGGAAATTTACATGCATAACACAATATTCTTATGTATTTACATACCTACACCTAAAGTTCAATATTTACCCAAATGCCGTGAACCTATACATGAAAAAGTTTATTTCAGTTTTTAAAAATTAATCATGAACATATTTTTTATGTGATGTTAATTTTTTTTAGTATTATAAATATAAGTATGAAAGTATTGTGTGGTATGTATGTACATGCCCCTAAATCAAAATATTATACACTACTGCCATATCTTTGGTTGTATGATTAGACCTTCTATCTAAATTTCCATTAGAGAGTCATTTACCTAAGGGTAAAAAAATAATTTCTCTACCATTAACTGAGCGTTGAAAATAACATGGAGAATGAAATTCTTCTACTTATATGGATGTGAAGTACTTGATAAAGAACAGTGCAACTTGAAGGCCCGGTGATAACTTACATGCTGGATTATGTTCCTCTACACTCTTCAGTATTAATTCCATGATATTTTCTTTGCCTTCTTGTTCTCTTTCGTTAAGTTGTCCTCAATTTTACTTGTAAGAAGCAGTGAATGTCAAATAGACTACTTTGAGAGTTCTAAATCTAGCCTCAAGCAAATGAAAACATCATTTGAAACAACATTATATATTGTATATCTATTTCTCAAGTGCTTGGTTCTTATTCCTTGGTTTTTATTTTAAGTAGATTTCAATTTCCTTTGATTCTAGTTGGCTTCAGCAAAGTGTGCATGTTTATTTAAATTTTACATTCACCGTACAGAAAACAAAATATTTCATTATTCTTTCAAGTATTTGGTTGTTGCCTTATATATTAGTGAGTTTTCCATGTCAAATGTGCTTCTCACACTAGATCTCAATATAACTGAACATAAATCACATCATATAAATTTGTCACACCTTCAAACAAAAAAAAAAAAAAAAAGAGAAAAACAAGCAAGAAGGGAACCTACAGCATGCAATTATAGAACAGAGAATGCTAAAAGTGGGAAGTTTATTTGGCATAAATAAATTCATTACTACCTTTTTGTAGAGGTAAAATTAATATGAGTGCTACTTTCAGAAAAAAAAAAATTTCGCAAATGCATTTTGAGTGGAGAGTTTCTCATACAGAGTGAGCTGGGAACCGAGATGTCAATTTATTTGCTTCCAAATCATAAACATAAATGCAAGCATCACTGCTTCCGGCAACAAGCTCTCGACCATCAGTTGAAAACTTAACAGAAAAGACCCCAAAAGAATACGCTGCATCAGTATTTGAAGAGAAGTCCAGCCCATCATGAATTTCCTGCATGACAATAGTGGAAGCCTCAAATCCTGAAACCTGAATTGCACTAAGAACAAGGAGCTACTCTTCAAAGTGTTTGTTGGAGAGACATGCCAAGAAAATTTTGTTTTTGAATAAATGTGATTAACTCCTAAAGTGGAAAGTGGATTATAGAGGCTGATGTTTATTGCTCATGTTGGAAAAGTGCATGCAGAAAAAAATGGTCGTTATGTTCATTTACACGTTGCACAATCAAACTTTAGAAAGGATAATGTGCTTCATTATTGTGGCTTAGTCACTAATACAACGTAGGAAAACTTTTGTAGGTGATATGGTTGTCGATCCATAAGCAATGGCTTAAGCTTTTAGGTTGTCTCACTCCAACTCCACAGTTTTAGCCTCTTATTCATGAATAAACAGCACAAGTAATTCTTGCATTAAGTTTATAATTCCACACACAACATTCCATTAAAGCGAATAGCTAGAACTTAGACCATATTTGGATATCATTAATCAAAGGGAAAAACTTTAGTTTCTGCTCAGTGGCCTATGCAAATAGGTTTTTACAAGTTCTAGAACCATACAGATGCCCTTTCTCATTGATAGCAGAGACAACCTTATCCCATGGAAAAAAAACTTATTATAAACAAAAGTAACAACTTGCCAACACAGGAGTAACCAACTATGTTTTTCTAGCAGAATGCAGATATAGTTATTTATATGAAATCAGCAGAATTAGCTATTATTAAGGCAAACATTAAGTTAAATGAAACATAATCATCGCTACAAAATATAGTGATTATACAAAAATTTTAGTGTTTAATGGGAGATTATACTCCATGCATGTTAATTGCAAAAAAAGGATTAAGAGTTACGATGTATTTATATGCCAAGAGATGTGAAAATAAAATGTATGAATTTTTAACAAGGAGATAGATAGTAAAATATTGCTTAAAGCATGAAACTTACGGTAACATTAGCAAGTGACTCTTTCGTAGAAGATCCCACATCTACAATATGAACTACTGGTGACATACTGGCATATACCTACAATAAGAGAAAATGTAGTTAATTGCAACTGATCAAGTAGAAACTCAGTAGCTGGTTAAACACGTAACATAAAAATTACATGAAAATCAAGAACTATTTTTGAACTAAGTGATTACTTGATACAGAAATTAAAAAAAAAAAGAAAAAGATACATGATCAAAGGGACAAAGAACAACAATTTCCTGTTAAAATAATCTTCGGCATATCACACATCAACCTTAGGTTTATCAGATATTATATGTAAGATTTCAGACTTTCTACAGAAGAAGATCAATTTGTGTATGAAAACTGATGCCGATTCTACAAATGATAAGATAATTTGCAACATGTATCATTTTGTAGGAAGGCGGTGATTTCTGAGGATATCAGCATTGTATCAACTTTTGGGAGGCATAACATATGCTCTCGTACAGGGGCTTGAGACGCTCATTTTAATGATAACCAAAGAATTAATAGGAAAGAGGCTTAGAAGTGAAAACAGACCCAAACATTTTGGGATCAGTTTTGTTTTTGTTTTTATTTCTATTTTTTCTTTTGTCGGTCCCTAGCCTGGATGCAAAAATTGGAGGGTTGTGTTAGGTAGTCGACAATCAGCGTAAAATTTGTCGAAAAAATCATGACATGAATTTTTTTTATCAGTGTAAGTGCTAAGGTGTCCCCTGAAAGCGACGCACTATATAGCTTAAATACAGTGAAAAGCGTGCAAAGGCCGCTATATTGACGCCCGGGTGTAGTGTCAAATAAGCAAGAGTTTCCACATTATGAACGGATACCGGTAAAGAAATTAGTCCATGAAATTAATGAAATTAATATTATGATAGGATCTTAAAATATAGGTGCTATCAATGATAAATTAATGAAATTAGTTGATATTATGATTCATAGAAAGATTAATATCTTATGTATTCAACAAACTAAATGGGTTGGAGAAAATAGTAAAGAGTGTGATAACTTAGGTTTTAAACTTTGGTACTCTGGTAAAAGTCGCACTAGAAATGGTGTAAGTGTAATTATAGATAAGAGTTTGAAAGACAATATAGAGTTGGAGAAAGAATTATAGCCCTTAAGATTATCATTGATACTAAGATTTTTAATATTATAAGTGCTTATGCTCCTCAAGTAGATTTAGATATAGGGTCTAGAGATAAATTCTGAAATGACCAAGAAGACTTAATACAATGAAGAAAGAATTTTTATTGGAGGAGATTTAAATAGACATATCGGTAGAATGGTAGAAGATTTCAGAAATATTCATGGTGGCTACGGTTTTGGAGCAATTAATGAAGAAGGTAGAGCTATTTTAGATTTTTTTTTGTTATTACTAATACTGTATTCAAGAAAAGAGATGAGCAATGAATCTAATAAAGCACAAATTGATTATTTTCTTATGAGAAAAAGAAATCGTCGAGATTGTAAAGATTGTAAGGTAATTCTAAGTGAGGATTTAAGTACCCAACATCGTTTATTAGTTCTAGATTTTAACATGAATAGTTGTAAAATAAAGAATATTATGACTCATCATCGTAGACTTAGATAGGAGAACTTAAAAGACACAAATAAAATTAATTTTACGAGTAAAATTCAAGATTTCAAACTTTAGGATGCTCATGATGAAGCAAATGCTATGTGGAGTAAAATAACAAACATTATTAAATAAGTAGCAAAAGATGTACTTGGAGAATCAAAAAAACAAAGTTTCTTTAAATAAAATTAGTCGGTGGTGAAATAAAAACGTGAAAGAAAAAAATAAAATATAAGAATTTTTGTTATAAAAATTGATTTAAATGTAAGAACTTAGAGAACTGGAAAAAACATCAAACGACACGGACTGAGTCTAAAAGAACAATCTTTGACGCAAAAAATTCTGTTTTTAATAATCTTTATAATATATTAGATACCAAGGAGGGTGAAAAATATATGTATAAACTGGCCAAACAAAGAGAAAATAAACGTAAAGATTTAATTCAAGTAAAGTGTATTAAAGATAAAAATAAAAAAGTGTTTTTCTTAGAAAAATATATTCAACATAGGTGGGTGAGTTATTTTGATAAGCTTTTTAATGAAGTTTGCGAAATAATAATCGACTTTAGTGATCTTAATATCGTTAATAATAATAAAACGTTTCGTTTTGCTGTCGCTTTAATTAAAATTAAGTTGACGAGGCTTTAAAGAAAACAAAGAGTGGAAGGTCTGTAGGACCTGATGATATCCCAATT